CTGTAGCTCAAGTGGTAGAGCGCTCGCCTTGAGCTGAAGAGCTGAGGGACAGCGCCCAGGCCCAGAGTTCAAGCCCCACAACCGACAAAAAAAAAAAAAAGCTCAGGTACCATGCCCAGGCCCTGAAGTCAAGCCGAGAGAGAGAGAGAGAGAGAGAGAAGGAGAGGAGGAAGAGAGGAGACAAAAGAAACTTGATTTCAAGTGGACTGCAGAGTGCTGGTTGGAGGGATGTGGTCACCATGGCAACACTTGAGCGCCCCTTGGGCAACTGCTTCACAGAGATGGTCCTTGAGGGGCAGAACCTAGAGAAGTAGTTGCTACGTTAGGCTACCTGAGCTCTCCGTGTGGTGTGTAGTGTATATGCATGTGTGCGCGCGCGCGTGCGCATTATAGTGTGTGATGTGTAATATGAGAAGTGGTTGCTATATTAGGCTTCCTGAGCTCTGTGTGTGGTGTGGTGTGTGTGCAGTTGTAGTGTATAGTGTGTGTGGTATGTAGTATATGTGAGGCACAGTGTATGCATGAATAGTTTGTGGTGTGTGTGTTGTGTAATGTGTGGTATGTAGTATGGTGTATAGTGTGGTGTTTGTGATGTGCAGTGTGTGTGTAGTGTGTGGTGTGTGGTGTATAGTATATGTGATGCACAATATACGTGTGTGCTATGTGGTATGTGTAATATGTGCTGTAAAGTATGGTGTGTGGTATGCAATGTGTGCTACTTAATGTGTAGTGTGTGTAGTATATGTAGTGTGTGGTGTATAGTGTGTGGTGTGTAGTATATGTGATACACTATGTATGTGCTGTGTGGTGTATATAGTATGTGGTATTCAGTATGGTGTGTAGTATGTGTGGTATGCAATGTGTGGTGTGTAATGTGTAGTGTGTGGTATATAGTGTGTGGTGTGTGGTGTATAGTGTGTGGTGTGTAGTATATGTGATGCACAATCTATGTATGTGTTGTGTGGGTATATAGTATGTGGTATTCAGTATGGTGTGTAGTATGTGTGGTATGCAATGTGTGGTAATGTGTAGTGTGTGGTATATAGTGTGTGTGTGGTGTATAGTGTGTAGTGTGTGGTGGTGTGTGTGGTGGTGTGTGTAGTGTGTGGTGTGCAATGTGTGGTGTGTATAGTGTAGTGTATGTGTGTATGGTGTGTAGTGTGTAGTATGTATAGTATGTGTGTGTATTACAATGTGGTTAACAAGACAGAGATGAAGATCGGCTTGTGAGTCTGCTCTGACATTGGAGAGCCTCCATCCTGACTCTCGGGTCCTCCTGTACTGGGCCTCCAGTCTTCTGTCAGCACTTCAGCTTGCAGGGTGCCGCCCCTGCTCACCTCCTCCTCTGACCTTCTGACCTTCCTTTCTGAGCCTGGTCAGCAGCTCCCCTCCTGCCTCTCACACTTTCTCCTCCTCTCCCTCCCCTCCCCCTCCCCCCCCCCCCCCGCCTCTGCGCAGGTCAGACGTGTCCTCTGCAGTTCTGGTATTGGATGCCCTGTTGATCCCCTGGGCAGGGCTGGTGGAGGTGACCCAGCCGCCATCCTGCATCTGCTCCACGTCAAGCAGCAGTGGCGTTCAGGCCCAGCCTCGTGAGGCAGCTTCTGTACAGGGAGGGGTTTCTCCATAGGAATCCCTGCAATGTGGGGAGCCTCAGACAGACTGACTGACTGACTCTTTCCATACTGCATTTCCAGTTAGGGAGGCCAGGGGTGCAGGGAGAATGATGAGGCGCCACCGAGATGACCAATGCCTTTTATTGCCTCCGTGCTGGGCTCTGGGGCTGGGGTTCCAGGGCTCTGAGGGGCAGCAGGCAACTCTAGGCCCAAATTATTGCTACTTTTCAAGGTCAACGTAGGGCTTCCCACAGTGCTTGGAGAATGAGTGGGGTGTGTGCGTGCAAATGGTATGCAAATGACATGCAAATCAACCCAGGATTCTCCAGAGGTCTCTGGTGCAGCCGTGGTTGCTGGAAGAGTCTAGAACCAGCTTGGTAGAGTGATGGGGACACCCAGGTCCTTACCCCACATTGTAGATAGATCTGGTCCGGTCTCAAGGGTCGAGGTTCAAGGGGTTGGGGGAGGGGGAAGTCCCTGAGCATCAGCCCTGATTCTCTCACTGGTTGGGGAGCAGCCTGGCCCCCGAGACAGGGCTCTACTAGGCTGCCAGAGAAGAAAGGGGCCTGCCTGCGGCACACAGCAAGGCAAGGGCAGGCAGGCCCAGATCCAGGCCTCTTGAGTCAGGTGCAAGTCCAGGTACCTCGGAAGCTACAAACAATAAAAACACATGGATAAATACACTAACAGAAAGCAAGTGCCCGCTTCCTGACCCCTGGGCTGGCTCTCCCCTCCACTGGCTCTGGCCTGGCCCCGGGTATGGAGGGAGACAAGGTCCTTGGTCTCAATGCCGAGTTGACCCCGTGCAGAAGGCTCTAGAAGGAGACAGGCAGGGTCTCAGGGTCCTTGGTTTAAGCAGGTCAGGCTCAGTTATTATTCATAATCCACCAGGAGGCTGTGGGTCAGAGGTTGGGGGGGGGGGTCAAGAGCCACAGGAGTCTCCTGCCCCTCCCGGGTGCCAGGGCTGTCGGGAGGAGTGGGGTCCCCAGCATACCTGGGAAGAACATGGTGGTGAGGGTGTCGGGGGCCCGCAGGTGGTCGATGAGGATGCGCTGGAAGGCCTTGCTGCAGGGCGACTGCTGGTGCCTGGGGAGGCCGAGGCGGGGTCAAGGCTGCAGCCATGGGCTCTGAGACCACGGTCTCCCATCCCACCCTGGACCTGTGGCCTGGGTTCAGATCCCAGGTCTTCCCTGTATGGCTCTAGCCTCCATGTCGCCCTCTGTGAAATGAGGGACGGGATCCACTTGACCAGGGCGCTGTGAGGATTGAACTAACGCACTGGCACTCACTTGCTGAATGCCTGCTGTGAGCCTGCGCTCACTTCACACAGCTCGTGCAGCCCGGAGGGGAGGGAGGGGGCTGGACTGGCATCACTCCTGCTTTGCAAAGGAGGACACTGGCACCCAGATTAGGACAGGTAACACATGGCCCTGGGCCTGACACACAGCGGGCTGTTACACTGACTCACCTTCTCCAGGAGGCCTCATCCTGCCAGAATTCATACAAGGTAAAGGAGCCGTGCTCTACCATCTTCTGGGCAGACACACTGCAGGGCCAAAGACACGGCCAGACCACTGCTGGGACCATGGCTGCCCAGCTGGGAGCCCTGCCCCCTCCCCACGGGCATCCACCCCCCCCCATGGTGAGCATAGCCCATCAAACTCACTGCAGACACTGGCTGTGGGCCCCTGTGACGTCCACGTAGCAGCACAGGGCCCGGCGGAAGTCCTGTAGGGCCTCCTCAGCCACCTGCACCTGTCTCTGGGCCACAAGGATGTGCTGCCAAGAGAGCTGCCAGTCATGGGGCGGGCCAGGCAGGGGGAGGACTCTGTCCTTCCTGTTTGGGCTGGGTCTGAGGTAAGGGCCCTGCCACCAACAAGCTTCCCGTAGACTCCATCTGCAAGGTCACTGCCTAAATCCAGCCAGCGCCCCTCTCTTCCACAGCTACCACCACTCCCTGCTGCTCTGGTCCAGTCTGCATCCCCTGCACCAGACCTGGCTGTTGGAAATACCAATACAGGAACTAGGTGCCCTGAGAGGGGACTTTCACAGGGTCACAGAGCAAGCACCAGAACCCAGACCCTGCCTGCCAGGACAAAGGGACAGCTGGTCACAAGGAATCCCTCATTCTGACCTGACAGCTAGAGACCTGCTCCTCCCCGGGCTCACCAAGTCAGGGCCCTTGGTGAGGTCCTCTTCATGCAGGGGTTCCAGCCGGGGAGCCTGGGAGGGACACAGAGTAGGGGGCCCAGCTCCCAGCATTACCCGGCATGGGTGGATGCCAGGCAGGGCCTGCCCCAAGAGCCATGGGCCACCAGCCCCTCACCTTGCACTCAAGCTGATCTATGAGCTCCTGGAGACGGTTGACCTGCAGCCGCCACTGCAACTCAGCCTCTGAGCTCTGTCCTGGGGTGGGAGGCCCAGAGGCCATCAGCCAATGACCTCCGAAGCTGAGCAGCCTCTCAGGATGAACTGGGAGCAATAGAACAGGCCTAAGGGAATGGGGGGGGTGTTCCATACCTGTCCTGGACCCTGTGAAGCCAGGCCCCCACCCTGCCACAGGCACACCTATGTCAGAGCAGCCAGGAGACCAGCTAGGTGACCGAATGACACTCCTCAGGGACCTGCGTCCTGTCCGCCGGCCACCATGGGGCCTGCGCTGAACTTCCACATTCTCTTCATCCAACCTAGGGGAAGTGGAGGGTCAGCCTGCTGCTCCCAGACCCAGGACCAAGGACAGAGGTCCTAGCACAGGACCAGGCCTGGGTGAGACAAATAGGCCTCTTGGAGCTTTGAAGCCCAGCCCCAAAGCCAGCTATCCCACATGACTGCCCTGCCCAAGAAAGTGGCCTCTAGGATGCGAGGATGCAGAAAGTGATGTCCTGAAGGGATTCAGAATGCAAGGACAAAGGGCATTGCACACTGGCCCTGCAGGCTGGCAGGGCCCTCACATACCGCAGGCCACGGGCCTGGGCCTCCAGGGTGTCCGACGCCCCCTCCAGCGAGCTCTGCAGGGCCTGTAGCTGGCTCACTGTCTCCCGAAGCAGGAAGCGAGTGACAAACTGGTCCACTTTGGAGGCTTGCTCATATTCCTGGGGACAGAGGAGGCAGGGTCAGCATCTCCTGACCCCGAACACACATTTCAGGGAGCCACCCATCCGGTGGGCTCCCCTGTGCCTATCAGAACAACACGAGAAGTATAAAGAACAGGGCAAACGCATCTGGCACAGCAGGAGCATGGAGGCCTAGGCCCCTGCTCTAGGCCTGGCCTCTATTCCCAGAAGATGCGACCTACTCAGAATCATGGGCCCACTAGGATGCTCGGCTTGTCTGGACCTCAAATCCATGGCAGCCAGGCATGGCAAGGAAGGGTGGGCTAGTGTGGAGGTCCCAGGCCATCCAAGGACCATTCTGACCCAAGGCAAGATGATATATGATATGGCAACAAGCCACATCTGCATATGCATCCACTCACCCATCCATCCCATTCCGTCCATCTACCTGTCCATCCTTCCATTCATTCTCTCTACTCACTCACTCACCTGTCCATCCACACTCTCACCCATCCACCCACCCACTCACTCATCTAGCTATCCATTCACCCATCCACTCAGTCATCCAACCATCCAGCCAGCCAGCCAATTCACCCATCTACCCATCCATCCATTCACTCATTCATCCATTATCTATCCACCCATCATCCATTCACTCATCCAACCATCCATCCAATCATGCATGGATGCATCCATCCATGTACGCAACTAACATTTACTGTGGGTTGTTGCTAGGAAGTACAGATATAAGACAACCAGGTCACTGTCCACAGTGTGTGTGTATACACACATACAACAGTGCCCTACACCTCCCCTCCATACCCTTTCCCAGGTGGGCAGAGATAGGGAAGCAGACCATGTACACGGCCTATGCTGCATATCTTGGGATTCTGATTCCCCAACAAGTTTCTTCATCTATAAAACAGGAATGATAACACTGAGCAGTCCAGGGGCCGCTACCTAGGAGTCTGTCCAGTGCTTGCACGTAAGTTCCTCATCCCAGAACTGTTATTGCTTTGCCAAACCTGGAGTCTAGCCAGGTGCCAGTAGCTCATGCCTATGACCTTCCTTGGAGTCTGAGATTGGAGGACAGTCTGTGAGAGTCTGATCTCCAATTAACCACCAAAACACCAGAAGTGGAGCCATGGCTCAGGTGGCAAAGCATCATCCTTGAGCAAAAAAGCAAAAGAATAGTACCCTGAATTCAAGTGTCAGGGCCAGAATTCAAGCCCAAGCTACCCCTCCCTCCTCACCAGAAAGCACCTCATAAACCCAGCTTCATTATGATCACTGGGCCTGATTTCACAGCTGGGAAACTAAGGCCAGGAAAAGTCTGGCATCATGTAGAAATCTGAATCCTCTGGGGATGCTGGGAAGAAGAGCTCTGAGCCTAGAGCTGCTGAGTCTGACCCATGAGGTCACAATACAACCTCCGCAGGTGGGGCAGGGCTGAGTCAGGCCCCTTGGCTAGAGGGCAGGGGAGAGGCAGCATGGGCTGTGGCCCCCACTGGTAACCAGCCCCCACCATGGGAAACAGCAGTTCCCACAAGAGGACCAAGGCACCGAAGCAGGCCCGCAAGGAGAAGCCGCCTGACATGGACAAGGGCCGCAGTAAACAGCAATTCTTCAGCCACCTCAAGAGGAAGAAGCCAAGTGTGAGTGAGGGCAAGTGGGGGACAGGTGGGGGCCGGTTGGCAAGGGTCCCTGGGCATGGGGGGCAGGAAGGGGGCTTAGAGTGCAGGCCTGTGGACATAAGAAAGGTTAAGGGATCCCTCTCGGGTAGGAGGCCGGTGGGTATGGGCTCTAAAAAGGGGGTTCACGAGGGGGTCCTCCTTACCCTGGACCAGTGGGCGGAGGCCAGGCATAGGAACATAGCCCTCTGCTATGTTCTCTCTCCCAGGTTCTGCTGGGAAGGAATAACTTCCCAAGCAGCTCTCCAGCCTTCAGCCTCAAAACGATTTGCTTCTCTTCCAAGGGGGAGAGGCTCTGGGCGGAGCCCGGGCATGAAGAGAGGGCAGGCAGGGATCTTCCCCTCGCAGCCTGGCGGGGAGGGCGAGCCCCTGGTGAGGCCGCTGCCTCCGGCAGGGAAAGATGAGCTTTCTCGGGGCCTGATGTGGGGGGGATGAGTGGGGTCCAGGGCACAGAGGGGCTGAGCCTGGGAGGCCCCGGGAGGCTGCGGGTCTGGGGGAAGGGGGGGGGCGTCGGGCGGCCTCGGTCGCGCGCCCGGCCCCAGGCGCGCTGTTCCCGACGCCCCACTCCCAGACCAAGATCGTGCTACTTTTCCCCCTGGACAAGCGGCAGCAGCTGGCCGAGGCGGCGGCGGCGGCGGCGGCGGCGGCAG